TTTTTTTTTTTTTTTTTTTCTGTCCCCCCTCTTGACTTCAGTTGTCAAACAGTAGGCTCTTGGAGCAGCTACATCTGATTTTTTTCTCCCCTGGCTGAGTCATCTTTATATCCCTCCCTAGGACCAAATTGTGCCTTGCCTAAAGTGGATGATCAGTTCGTGTTTGTTGAGTGAAACAACTTTTTTCTGTGCTTTTCAGCCGTATCCGTCTGCATTTACTGTACACCCATCATTCCTTTTCTAACAGCACATCGGTACATCTTGCTCAGTATTTGTAGCGCCTGGAATTGTTTAGCCCACACAGCGTTTGGTCTATACTTAACTCTTTTTGCAGCAATTATAGATCAGTGTGTGCCTTAGTAGCATTTTCTCTCTGGATATACAATATTTAATAAGTTTGCCTCCAGGCATGAGCTTATTAATCTACATGGCCCCTTTTCCTGCAAGCAAAACTTCTTTTAGGCCTCTCTATCTCCCAGCTGAACTCAGCTGGGTACCAGTATGGTCTTTGCCATGACTTCTTTTGTCTTTGGACTGGTGTTTTGATTTGGAACAGTTTCCAGCCTGAATCCTTCCTTGTTCTTGCGAAATTCATCCTCACAAATGCCTGGAACTCTGTTATATGCTCACTGGTTCTCCCATCATCTCCAGGCCTGTTTCTCCTTGTTTCTGTCTAGAAGTAGTTTTTAAATACTGGTAATTTCTACCTGGTGCTCTGAGTAGTTACAGAGAAATAGAATATTACATGTTGTGTAAGGATTACTAGAAAATTCTCAAATGTGTTTTTTTTTTCCATTTGCAGCCTAGAGGCAACCGAAAGCATGGTGCATCCTTTCTCATCACAAAAGCAGTTCGAGGTAAGTTTAGCTGATTTACTTTTCTACATTTAAGTATACAGTTAGCAGGTAATGTTTAATTTTATATATGTGTATATTTTCATGGTGTATAATATGTACATACATACATATATGTGTGTATATATACACATACACTTTTAATGCAGAGTAGAGCTAATGTATGGCCTGAGTTAGCCATTATGGGTGTGTTCTAAGAGAAATGAAGAAAATCAAACCGAGAATGAGCCTCAGAGAGTATGGACACTGAGGGTGAGAAGACAGTGACAGGCTGTTTTGAGTGGTTTACATGATGTTTCAGGTACACCTGCTCAGAGTTATTCAAATTGCAAAACTGATTGACCAGGGCATTCATTTAACTGCTGGCAGGCTTCACATGTGCGCTCACGGGATCTGCATTAAGTGTCTCACACCAGCCACATTGAGCCAGTGCTGGGAGGGCTTTGCAGGTATTAGTTGATACAAACCTTTCCCAGGCCAGCAAGGTAGGCACTGTTCCCAGTGTATGTCTTGAGGTGAGGGAACCTGCCCAGGGTCATTTATTTGGAATTTGGCAGCATGCTTTTCTGATTCCAAAGCCCATCCTTATTATTTATACTGATGAGTATGAGCTACTCATAAAGAGAAGATTCAAAGGAGTTGAGTACTTGAAGTTAACTGTAATTTTATCTTCTGGTAATGATAAAATAATTTTATCTTCTGATAGCAGAAGCACTAGCATATTCAATTTTTGTTATCACAAATGCTTTGAAATTCTGAAGATTTAGCGAATGTATACCAGCCATAAAATGTATTATAGTAAATTTAGAGACTACAGATAAGCACAAATTAGGGTAAGTAAATTCTTCTTCATTTTGCCCCCCACAGGCAGCCTGTTATCCCTCAGACCTTTCCCCAGCGATATACACTTAACTGCGAACACGTGCTCACACACACGTGTTTTAAATGAGATCCTTTAAAACGTTTATTGTCAATATGTGTTAGGGATTATGTTTTTCCTGGACTTCCCCAATTTTAGATATTATTATTATTTAAATTTTTGCCAGAAAGTATAAAATGATATCCTAATTTTTTATAAAAACACTGGTTTTAAAGGGTGATTACTGTGATTTCTACTCTATGGTTTTATTAAAGCCCTTTTGGCAGAATTCAGCATCTCAAATTGCTTTTACCTTTTGTGCTGTTAGGAATTACTTCAAAGTTTTGAAAGCACCAGATTGGAGCTTAATATAAACAAATATATGATCTTGTAAAAGTTGTAGTGTAATTTAGATTTTATTTGTTCTCTTATTTGAAGAGTTGTACACTCTGTGTTTTGTTTGGTAATGACTCAGTCTACAGTGTATTTTAGATTTTATCATCAAGAAATCTAATTTGAAAATGATTCATAAGAAACAGTTGATTCATATTTGGCTTTTTATTTTATTTTATTTTATTACAGATCGTTTACTATTTTTACGCCAGTACATCTGGTACAGGTGAGTTGTCAATTCCACAGAGAAATGGAATACAAACAATATTGTCCTATTTATGATTTAAGTTTTCAGAACTGAACTGTGATATTGATGCTGACATTCAGGTGAACCCAGTTTATAGCACATGCATTTCAAACATCTGGCATACCCTGGCAGAACGTCTTATAAACTTGGGGTAATTTTTGTTCCCTTAGTCATTATTCAGAATGTCTCATTATAGCTTCTGCTTTCACTGATGAGCTTTCTCAGCCTTATCTTGAGTGTCTGCGTGGTGGATCTGTAGCTTTCAAAGCTTGTAAACAGCTTTTTTGTTCTTATTGTCATGTCCCCTCTCATTGTCAGCATTCAGTTGCTGGGCATCAGAGAAGGTTCTTTGGGTTTCAGTTCCTGGGTACTTTTGAATTCTTTTGGGTGTTATGTATGTTTTCAGGCACAGTGCTAATTTTGAACCCTAAAAGAAACAAAAAAGTGATTATTCGGACAAAGGATATAATTCAGCTTTTAGATACGTGGGTAGGAATTGTCTTATGGAATTATTTACCACAGATTGCTTTTTATTTGAGGACATCTAATCTTAAACGCTCCAGAGATAACATGGTTCTATAAAAGAGACCTTTGGTTCTGCTCTAGGACTATTCCAGTGTTTTCTGCTTTTACTTTGTGTGGTGTGTGTGTGGTTTTCATGATTAGACTTTAAGCTAGCTCATGTGTTGTGGTTTCAGCCCTGCACCCTTTTTGCTTCCTGATGGCCTGGTTCGCTTGGTTAATAAACAGATAAACTGGCATTTGGTCCTTGCAAGGTAAGGATGTATAAAATTCGTGTAATGTTTCTCTACCTGGATTAGCATTTAAATTTCATTATGGCATTAATTTTGGGGTGTTTATGGCTTACAGTCTTGATGTTTATTGTATATAAATTTCCTTTGACACACACGTGGTTGTGTTATTTAAATGTGTTAATTCAAGCTATAGTTGAATCATTTTGTATGCTTTTGTACCAAATGCTCCTCTAATTGTAAGGTCAAAAGATGAAAAAAATTTAAACATGATTTTAACTTCTTAAAATAACTCCATCTGTGTGGAACACTGCTACAAATGTGCATACAGATTATTGTTTCTTTTTTCTCCCCTGTGAAAGCAATGGAAAGCTTTTGGCTGCTGTTCAAGATCAGTGTGTGGAGATCAGGTAATTGCTAATATTCATATTAAAAATTTCCTTTGAGAAGCATTTTACTTGATTGAGAATAAGAGTTTTAAAGGGGGCACATTTAAAGGGTTTTTCTATTAGCTCATGTTGGTGAGATGCCAGACACCAATTTTGCTAATTAAAGATGAAAGATACTTTCTTAGTGGGGCATGTTCGTCTTCCCACTTCCCCAGACCACTCCTGAAGAATTTTGCTTCCTCAGTAGACAATGCATATTTTCTAGAACTCTGGAATCTACTCTTGTTTGACTGTGTGCTGTGAAGTCAGCTAAGCAGGTGCTCAGGAAGGTATTAAAAAAGTAGGGCTGCTTTGCTCTGTGGGCATGAAGCTGTGGATGGGCTGTGGGTCTGCACAGGACCAAGGTTGCATACTACTTGAGACCAGTGACACTCTCTGTCCTCTGAGACATTCACTGGCATTATATACACATCTAGAAAACTTCCCTAAGTTGGGCTTCTAATATGCTTTATTTTTAATTAGTGTATCAGTTATGGAAGAGATAAAACAGTAGCCACTAACTCAGTAAAACAGGTTCATTCTTTGGGAAATTGGGAACAGCAGACAACATGTGTTGTACCTTTTAAATGAAATTTATTGTAGTGACATTTGTTAATAAGATTATATAGATTTCAAGCTTATACTTCTGTGATACCTCATCTGTATATTGCATTATGTGCCCACCACCCAAAGTCACATCTCCTTCTGTCATCGTGTATTTGACCCCTTTACCCTTCACTACCCCTCACCCCCCTTCCCTCTGGCAATCACCATACTGTTGTCTGTGTCTATGAGTTTTTGTTTAATTTGTTTTTCTTATTTGTTCATTTGTTGTTTTCAGTTTTATGTCCCACATATGAGTGAAATCATATGTTTCTTGACTTTTCCTGTCTGACTTATTTCACTGAGCATGATATTCTCAGAGTCCACCCATGTTGTTGTAAATGGCAGTATTTCATCTTTTCTATGGCTGGGTAATATTCCATTTTATACATGTGCTGCATCTTTATATCCAGTCACCTATCGAAGGACACTTTGGTTATTTTTATGTTTAAACTCACTTGTGCTTATGTCACTTCATTCTTGGTATAACTCCATTTCTGATGAAAAAGAAATGTTGGAAGAAAGTATTTTCGCTAATAAAAGGGTCTTATTTGAGGCACAGAACACCCTCTGTAAGAGAGAAATGATTTCATGTTATTAGTAAAGATGTCCAGTCTGTAGTGTCAGTGGTCTTGTATAATAGTACACAATAGTGTTGTTATAGTAAAACTATTGTCTTCATTTTGTACATATGTTGCAGGTCTGCAAAAGATGATTTTACCTCTGTTATTGGGAAATGTCAAGGTAAGAGTTTCCAAAATACCTAAAAAATGAAACTTTCTAATCAGCAATAGTTTACAGTATCTCTTAAGAGTCAGAATATATATTAAATAAATATTTATTAATAAGGATTATTAAAACTGCCTATTAAAATAATTTTCAAAAATCTTAACTGATTTCTCTTATTGCCTTAATTTTGCTTTAGGATGTGCATTTTGGAGAAATTTGAAATTGAAACTTAAAAAAATCTAAGCCAGTTTTGTGATAAAGTATTCATTAGTGTCTGTAGCTTTTATTTTGAATTCAGTGAAGAAATAAATATTTTGGTATAAATCAAGAGTTGGGCCTGGCCAGCAGGACTCAGTGGGTGAGTGTCTACCCATGAACCAGGAGATCACAGTTCAATTCCAGTCAGAGCACATCCCGAGTTTTGAGCTTGATCCCCAGCAGGGGGTGTGAAGGAGGCAGCTGATTGATGATGTTTCTGTCTCATCACTGGTGTTTCTTTATCTTTCTTCCTCTCCTTTCCTCTCTGAAATCAATAAAAAAAAAAAATACTAAAAGAGTTGCTTAGATACAGACTAATGAAAAAAAGTCTGGGATTTGGTCATTCTTTGGTATAATCAGAAAGAATTTACTGAGTGTCTTTTATGTATATGAATTGTTCCTGGGTACTAGGGGTATAATTGTGAGCAAAAAGGCCTTGTCCCTTACCTCATACAGACACTCAGATACATTAGTATAAACTTTGACAAAAAAATGATGAAGGGAAAATACAGAGTTGGGTGAGAGTCTCTAACCCGGAGTATGGATGAAATTGTTGAGGAAAAAGTGATATTCGGTTGCCCTTTTCCCAGTGCTGCCCTTGTGTTGGGTGAGGGCTTGGGAGCCTTCTGTGGGCTTCTGAGAAGCATGCTGGGAATGTCCAGAGTCAGACACATGGGGCCCCTTTAAGCTTTGGCATCGGACACCTGCTCTTAGCCAGGAAGTAAACTGAGAAATACACAAGTTAACATGAAAATGGAAAGCTTAACCCTTCAGCATTTCACTCAAATGATAGTATTTGTTAGAGTTTTAGTGCACACAGTTAATGTGACAGCCTAGATGAGATAGTGATGGTTTGAGAGCTAACGTTTTATTTTGTTGGCTTCCGAGTGTGTGAATTTATGACCTCAACGCTGCATTAATGGCTTCTTTCCATTTCATATAATGTGAGGTAATGATCATTTGCTTGTTATCGGACTCTCTCTGTGGGAATGACTTGCATTCGACAAACGATGGTTCATATGGATGCCTGGAGAGATGCCGCCAGTTGTTGTTAATGCATTTCTGAAACTACATGTCGGGGAGTCTACAGACTGAAATAGGAGCTGCTTGATTCCACTTTGATATTTTTCAGTTATTGTTTTATAAGATGTAGGCCATTCGAGAATGTTTTAAATGTGGATTGCAACTTGTTTTGGTTCTGTTTGCCAGGACATAAAGAGTAGTTTAGTCATTTCTATCTGGAAGAGTGGCCTAAAACTAGAACATGGAATTAGACTTTTTAAAAGCTGTACTACGTTAATCAATAGATTTTCCTCCTATTCTGATTTTGGGATCCATAGACCAGAGCTTCCTAGTGCTGAGCCACAGCCTGCTTCTCTAGGTGCACTGACATCCCACCTACCTGCCATTGGCCCAGGGGCCCTGTGACAGCTCAGATATGCTCCCTCTGGTTTCCAGTGGCCTCATCAGTTTACCGTTCGGTGCCATACAAACATGATTTTCTGTGTGTGTCTTGACATGACAAAGGTTGTGAAGCATAGACTATTTGAAGCACCCAGATTTTGAAATGAAGCATTTCAGAATGGAACTGTGATTCAGGAGGCTCAGGTTATATGACAGGAGTGGATATGCTTGTTTTTTTAAAGGTTATTAAGTATTGTCAGATATGGTTTAGAATAGCTTTTACTTAGGGGTAGATTAGTCCTGACTTGAAGGTGAGGCCTTCCTGGAATCTCTTGTGAATTCTCAGAGATTCAGTGACGCTTCTCCACTGTGACTCGATGGAGCTCAAACGTTTTCAAAGCCTCTGCAGGCGTCAGTAGGTGTTTCCCCGATACTCACCCTCTCCCCACCTTGTGGAAGCTTCCGTATGTCTGCAGCTTTGTGTTTGGCCAAAGACTCAGGCCTCCTAGCTATAGGTTCCTTTTCTCTCTGCTCCTTTTTTAATTGAATTTATTGGGGTGACACTGGTTAATAAAATTATATAGGTTTCAGGTGTACAATTCTGTATATATCATCTGTATATTGAAATGTGTGTTCACCACCCAAGTCAAGCCTCCTCCTATCACTGTTTATCCCCCATTTACCCTCTTCACCTCCCCCCACCTTCCCCTCTGGTAACCACTATTCTGTTGTCTGTGTCATCAAATTCTAGTCCAGCTTAGTAGCTCCTCAGTTCAGTGAGACTTTCATGTCCCCTCTGAGGCCCCTCTTCGTGCACCGTGGTCCAGAAGGTGCTTCCTGGCAGAAAGCAAGGGTGAGCCCTCTCCCAGCGATCACGGGCTTGCACTGCCTGGGGTATTACATTTGTCACATCTGAAAAACAGCTCTTCCATGTGCTTTCTTCTACAGTGGGGGGCCTAACCTGAAACCAGTTACTCTGTTTTATTTTTAAATTACAAAAGCAGTACATACTTGTAGCAAATTGAAACAATGCAGAAGTAGAAAAAGTGAAAAAAAGATTATCTTCTCAGTTTGCATTCTCCACTGTAAGAACGTGAACCGAATTTTTATTTAGTCCCCTCTTGATAGAACCTAGGCTGTTTATGGTGGCTTGTTTTTTACCTGCCTCTTACCCATCTTTGTCCCCTCCCTCCTCTGACAGTGCTGGAAATGACATCCTGTTAGTCTCTGGGTGTAGTTTTCAAAATGCGATAGCCATTGCCATGATTCCTTCCTGAAAGCCATACCTCCTTATACCGCCTTGGGAAAGATATAATCGAGCCATTTCCTTTCTCCAATTTCAGCACCATATGTTACCTGCTTTTAAAATATTCATCAGGTTCATAGGCAAAGGGAAAGAGCATCTCAGTTTCAATTTGCATATGTCTAGTTATTAGTTAGAGCATATGTTAAGTGTCTACTTTTACTGTTTCATCTGAATTGTTAGATCATATCCTTTTGCCTTTATTTCTCTTAGAATACTTGACTTTTACTTATTGGTTTGTAATATTTCTACATAGTATGAATGTTAACCCTTGTCATATTTTTTTATTTGTTATGGTGTCTTTTTTGGTTTACTTTTGTTTTGTTATTGCATTTGTCATTTTTTCCCCCTTTATAACTTCAAGGTTTCTTACCCTGCTTAGTCATTTCTTATTCTAGGATTGTAAAATTTTTATCATGTCTTCTACTGACACTATTTCAGTTATTTAAATATTTAGCTTCTCTGCATGCTAAATATTCTCTATCTCACTAGTTTGCTTTTTTTACTTTAGACAGAGAGAGGGAGCGAGGATCAGAGGGAGGGAGAGGGAGAGAGAAACATTAATGAGAGAAACATCCATCGGTTGCCTGTTGTACTCCACCTACCCATTGGGGATCAAACCTGAAACCTGGGCATGTGCCCTGATTGAGAATCGAACCCTCCACCTTCCGGTGCCTGGGACGATGCTCCAGCCAACTGAACCATGCTGGCCAGGGCCCCAGTAGTTTTCTCTTGCTCACTGGTTTTTTATTTTAAAATTAAGCAATGTTTTTTAGATTCCCCGTATAAGTGAAATCATATGGTATTTGTCTTTCTCTGTCTGACTTATTTCACTTAGCATCAGACCCTCTAGAAAACAAAGCAGATTCATATGTACAGAGAACAAACTGATGGTTGCCAGAGGGAAGGGGGATTAAGAGGTACTAACTTCCAGTTAGAAAATAAGTCATGGGGAGGCAATAATGTACAGCATAGAGAGTATAGTTAATAAAATTCTGATAACTCTGTGCGGTGACTAGACTTATCATGATCACATCATAAAGTATATAAATGTTGAATCACTGTGTTGTTCATCCAAAAGTAATATAATGTATGTCAACTATAATTTAAAAAACTTTAAAAAGTCAAAGAATATATGTGAGAGACTGTCACTGAACCCTTCACTTTGCAGAAGAGGAATCTGCGCCTTGGTGGCCTCCCCGAGGTCACCTGCAGCCATTTCATGGCAGCACTGAGAGTAGAACCGAGCCCCTTATTTTTTAATCCTCGACAGTTTCTAATTTGGGTAAATGAGTGCTGGATTGAGGTGCCTCTTTAGCTCTCGAGTACCTATTACGTCCCAGAGGTGATCAAGCTATTCGCTAAGTGGGCACAGTGCCTGACATTTTGGAATTTATAGTTTAATGAGCAGGAAGACAGTAAAAAGTAGACAAACAGATGCATGATTATTATTTGGGATAAGAACTGTGAAGGAAATGCAATCAGTGTAATGGTCTCACCAGGCACGTGGCAGTTGTCAAAGGCTGGCTGACTTTACCCCTAGCCTTTGGAATACTTCCAGGCAACTCCACTGACACGAGCTTTGTAAAAATCCATACTGTTCATTCCTCTCCCAAACCATGAGGGCAGCTGGAAAAATCTGGCAATGAAGTCTTTATTTTCCAGTTATGTAAAATCTTACCTTATAATGAAAACATGTCTTTATTTGGGTCAAGGCACATGCTGAGTTTTTTGGAGCCCCTGGTTATAACCAGAAGTAACAGTAAAACAAATCCTCTTCAGATGGAACTTATTTCAGCAGATATAGACTGTGGTGTGTAATCTACTTATCCCAGGAAAATGCAATAAGGGGAAAAGTCTGCTATCACAGGTAGAACAGTGATGGTGGGAAATGTTGCCGTGTCTCTCCAGCGCATGAATGTCTCCAGGGCATTAAATTGTCCTTCTGGTGGTGGTTATGGAGCATCTGTGTGCGTGGGTCTTGTATTCTCATGTTGTTTATCATTTTGTGCCCATGTTCACTTCCAAGTTTGATTTTTTTAAAAGCTATCCGAAGACAGCTCATCTTTTTACCCATTTTATTACCATTAAAAAAGATTGCTTTTCCAGAGAATATGCAATATCTTCTTAGGGTTTAATAAAATCCACTAGACCCTCTGTGTTCAAAGGCCTCTTGGATTTTTTGCAGGCTTTTACCTGTTGATAAATAGTCAAAATGAAGACGGTTAGTGATGTCTGGTACACTTTTCCCACATGCAGGACAGAGATGGTGGATGTCACAGGGATGGGAGGACATCTGGATGCTACAGTGCCTCTTTTAGGTGGGGAGTAGACTCCAGCTATATAATTCACTGTTAAATGTTTGGTAGTCCTGACCCCTTCGCATCACCTCACCATGTTAATATGGATTTTCCTGAGACTGAGACTTAACGTGAATCACTGTGTTTCAGGTCCCAGGGTATCAATGGTGAATCCGACATGGTCTCTGATTTCAGAGAGTTGAGAAACTTGTGGGGAAACAGTCGTGTAAACAACACAGTATGGTGTGATAAATGCTGTGAGAGATTTTTGTGCAGCATATTTGGGGCACAGAGAGGAGAGTTGTCAGTTTTTGAAGAGTGCTAAAGGAGGTATATTATTCCTGAGCCTTTACCAGACCAAGACGTGGATTTGTGGGAGCTGTTCCTTTTAGTTGAACTACACAGCATGAGAGGTCCTTAGGAGATGAAGTAACATAGTTGAACACTTTGTTGCAGTAACTGTGTTAGCTGTCTTTATAATACATTGGTAAAAGCATTCTTTTTTTTCTAGTTCCCAAAGACCCGAAACCACAGTGGAGGCGTGTGGCGTGGAGCTATGACTGCACCCTGCTGGCCTATGCAGAGAGCACGGGAACTGTGCGGGTGTTTGACCTCATGGGAAGTGAGCTCTTCGTGATTGCCCCGGTATGTACATGCCTTCAACTGACAACGTGTTTTTTGAATGCTTTTATGTATAGGCCTTTGAGTGAATGAGAGGAGAGGGGAAATAGATATGTAAATCCGAATAGTAAATTGTGAAATTAAGATGCTCAGAATCTAGTTAGATATCTACACATAAAATAATTTATTGTTTGTATTTTCTAATGCAGTATCCAGATGTAGTCCACCGTTACTAAAACGTGGTAGTAAGTAAATGTTAAATAGAGATGCTGAAAGCTGTTTTAAGCTTCCAGTGAAGGAAAGAACAGCTTCAAGGAGAGTTAGAACTTTTTACCCTAAAGGGGGTAGACACAGAAAGGGAGAGGGGAGAAAATCATCAATGGTAGTAATAACTCGTGTTTGCATAGTGCTCTATACTTTATTAATGACTTTGATATATACCACCTTCCTATTTAATGTTCACAATGGTCCTTTGAGTAGATTGGGCAGATACTATCCTCATTTTACAGATTAGAAACTGAAGTCAAGAGGGACTTTTGCATGGTGGTCAAGTTAATAAGTGTCTCTTTTAGGAACCCAGTGCTTTTCACTTTGTGCCCTTCCTCAAGTGGACGAGGTCCAGGGCAGGCAGAACAGTGGTTCTAACTCTGCTGCATCTGAGAATCACCTGGGAAGCATTATAAAGAAAAAGAAAAACAAAAAACTTACTGGATTGCCCAGGCCCCACCCACAGAACTCTGACATAATTGATCCCAGTGGGCTCTGGGCACTGTTGTTGTTTGCAAGTTGTTGAGCTGATTCTAAAGAGGCTCACGGATTAGCCATGTATCAAGTGTTTGTGGCTACAGTATTTTCTAGTTCGAGGTAATGAAGAGCCAGCCATTCAGTATGATGAACTTCATTGTGTGTGCTCCCCAAGGTGCACATGCCTTCACATCCTTAGCACTATAACCTGATACTTAGTTGATGGAAGAGGTTGTCATTAGGTGTTTTTAAATATCCTTTCCTTTAAAGTTGCTGATTAGGCAAACGGAAAGTAACTGGAGACTTTCTCTTTTAGCTTTGATTACTGCTGGGAGCAGAAATCAACATTTGAAGGCTTATATCTGAATTCTGTATCTCAGAATTCTTTGAAGCTGAATAGTAGCATTACTTTTTTTTTTTTTTTGCAATGAAGTCCAGTGAACATAAGTTCACTTATTCTAGGTGAATATCTCATCCATAGAGGAGCAGCTGTGGTTTCAGCTATGGTTGGGAGGCTGGTCCAACCAGCCTGGTGTCTACTTGTAGGCACCCTGATTTGCATGATTCTTCAGTATACAGATCAGTTCTGGGGCTATCTTATATAGAGTGCACCTGGTAAGGCCAGTGTCTCAGATATCTTCCTATTATATTTATGTTAACTTCTATTGTCTTTTTAGTAACTTAATTTCCCTCTCTCCTGCAGGCATCGAGTTTAGCAGGTGATTTGAGCTATGCCATTGCTGGGTTGATCTTTTTAGAGTATAAAGCCAGTGCACAGTGGTCTGCAGAGCTTTTAGTCATCAATTACCGAGGAGAACTTAGAAGTTACCTTGTAAGGTAAAAGTATAATACTTTATTTGGGAAGACCTATTTGACAAAATAATATTTATTTTTCTGGCTTAGTGTCAGCTTTTATTGTTTCTTTTTTCTTTTCTTTCAGCATTTTATTATGAAAAATTGGAAATATAATAGGAAGTTTGAAAGAATTGTATAGTGAAAACTCATATACCTCAACTTAAATTCTGTTAGCATTTTTACTATACTTGCTATGCCAGATTCCTATCCAGCCATTAATCACTCTTATTTTTTAATGAATTTCAGAGTCACTACTTTAAATACTTTGGTGTGCCTATCATTAATTAAAGTTCAATATTTGCTTGTAGTTTTCTTTTGAGATAGTTTGCGTACAACGAAATGCACAGATCCTAAGTGTACCAGCCATTGAGTTACGACGAATGCATGCCCTTGCGTAGCTCAAACTCCTGTCAAGACACAGAACATTGCCATCGTGTTAGAAAGTCCCCTTGTGCCCCTTTCCAGTAAATCTCTGTCCACACGCACTCCCAGAGCAACTACTTTTATACTTTTTTCTATCAGAGGTTGGTTTTGCCTGTTCTTGTAACTCCCAATAATGGACTCAGACCTCTGAGTCTTCATTCAGCATGTTTGGAGATTCATCATATTTTGAGATGTATCAGTAGCTTCTTCCATTCTATTGCTGACTAGTGTATTTCACTGTATGACTGTCTCACATGTCTTAGTTTGGGCAGCTATAACAAAATACCATAACCTGGGGGGCTTATGAAGAACAGAAGCTTATTTCTCACAGTTCTAGAGGCTGGACATCTGGGTTGAGGGTGCCAGCGTGATTTCCTTCTGCGGAGAACCTTCTTGTGACTTGCAGACCACTGACTTCTCCTAGTAGCCTCATATGGTGGAAAGAAAGCTGGCTAGCTCTCTGGCCTCTTCTTATTAGGGCACAAATCCCATTCATGAGGGCTCCATCCTTATGACCTAATTACCTCCAAATACCATTGTATTAGTATTAGAGTTTTAACATGAATTCTGAGTAGGATACAAACATTCAGTCCATGGTGGGGTTAGGGAGGGTCAGTCACAAACATGTAGTCCATAGCATTTATGATTTATGTATTCTTCTATTGATGGACTTCCGAGTTTCCAGTTTTGGGCTATTGCAAACAAAACTGCTATGACCTTTCTAGTACAAGTCTTTATGGATATACATTTTCGCTTCTGTTGGTTCAATATCTTTGCATGGAATTGCTGAGTTATAGGGTAGATGTAGTTTATAAGAAGCCGCCGGACCTTTGTCCAAAGTTTCTATATCATTCATATTTCCACTATGTTGCATCAGAGTTCTGGTTGTTTTACATCCTCGGCAGTATTTGGTGTTGTCTGTCTTTTTAATTTAATTATAGTGAGTATTTAGTTGCATCTCACTATGGTTTAATGGTATATATTTTCTTTTTACCTCCTTAAATTAGTGTTGGAACAAATCAGAGCTATCAAGAGAGTCACTGTTTCAGCTTCAGTAGTCATTATCCTCAAGGAATCAACACAGCTGTCTACCATCCTGGTCACAGGTAAGCAACCACGTGTTCTCACCTCAGGTGGAGTATTAGGTGATTAGATGGGGATAGAAGTTGTAGAACAGTTTTAGAGAGAAGAAATTGTCCTTTTTGATTCTTCTTTTTTCAGTCCTCACCCAAGGACATGCTTAGAGAGAGAAAGGGAGAGAGAGAAACATCAATGTGAGAGAGAAACATTGATTGGTTTTCTTCTGTACGTGCCCCTACCAGGGATTGAACCTACCACCTGGGCATGTACCCTGACCAGGAATCAAACCGGCGACCTCCTGGTGCGTGGGACAATGTTCACCCAATTGAGCCACACCAGCCAGGCGATTTTCTCTATTTAAATGTGTGTATATGTGTGTAAACATTGTGTGTGGTATAGGAATGCAGTCTAGAAAGAAGCAAGGGCCTTAACAGGATGCAGATCAAGTGATGTGGGATCCAGACGGAGGGGACCTTCCTTCGTGTAGGATCAGGGAAGTGTGCAGGTGGCACTGGCGGAGAATGGGTACGTGTGAGCATGATGGGCATTCCAGACAAAGCAACAGTGTGAACAGTGACAAGAGGAAGGCAGCTACAGTGTGTTTTTGTGAAACTGCAGGAGGTGTAGCTTGGCTGATGCTGTAGGGTGTGTGGGAGGGGAGGACAGGTGATGGTTGTGATGGGAGGTAGAGTGTTGGAAAGACAGCTTGAGGTCAGGTAAATGGGAGCATTAGGGGTTGCCTGTTCTCCAGGAAACTTAGTGTTTGAGATGAGGAAATGGCGCTTGGAGGCATGTTGATTCAGGTGGGAGATGCTAGAGGCTGGGTGACGCATAGGTGATAATGTACTAGTTCACGCCACAGGCAACAGGGGCCTCTTCATTTTCTTACATAGAATTGCTGTTGCATGTTTTGCCACATTTTGGGCACTATGTATATATCACATTCTTTGTTATTTTTTATTCTGATGAATAGATCCTATATCTCGCATGAGAATGTCAGATACTTGAAGGCAAAGAATGTGTCATATCGGGCTTTGTGGAAGTCATGGCATCTGGCGTTTGGCTCCCAGCTCATGCACTGATGCTTCTCCGTGAGCCCCTGGGATGAGTCAGTCTCATTTCCCGAGTGGGGAAGAAAGGTGGTTTCTCTCTTGATTTTCCTCTTTCTTCTATTTCATATTCTTGTCCATCCCCACTTTTCTGTTTTATTTTTCTGGTCCTTTTGAAAATAAGTGTATTTTATAGCTTAATCCTTGGCTGTTTTTTCTTGTTTGTTTAGTTTATTTCATGCTGACTGCATTGTTTGGATTTTTTACTAAGGTCAGCATTTGCTACTTTTTTTCCTGGCAGTATTTGAGGGGGGACAGTGGGGTTCCCTTAGGGCCATAGGTTTGAAATGATCATAAAGCAGTTACTACATGATACTAGTTTGTCATAAGTCAGGTTACATTCATTACTCATAACACTTTCACTTTTTGGTCCAGGATCTGAGCAACTTGTAGGTATTTTTTTGGGGAAGGTGGTCTTTAAATATAGATTTTTGGGATGTTAACTATATTATCAGACCACAGAAGGGGGTATCTTCTTGGCTCTGCCATCATATGCAGTTCTCGACAGCAGTCAGCATGGGAATGGATGACCCCATTAAGGTTTCTGAGTGAAAATTGTTCTAAAGCAAGGACTGTGTGTAAACGCCCTGTTGTGCATGACAAAAACCTTGCTAGGTTGTTCGTATTTTCCATGATGTGCTCTTTTTAAATGAGCGAAGCTGAAATATTCATCACATTTATTTTTGGTTACTCTAGTAATATGAGCTTTTGTGATATTTATCATCCACAAGGATTTTATAAATGTAAAATAAATCANGTTATTTATTTTTGGTTACTCTAGTAATATGAGTTTTTGTGATATTTATCATCCACAAGGATTTTATAAATGTAAAATAAATCAGTCAGAGTGGAGTTGGGATAAATTGGTGGTGCACAGACTCAAGGTTTGATGAAATGCACTGTTTTGCCTGATGCTGAGAACCCTGTTGAAGAAGAGAGATGGAGATGGTGAATGGGTGGCACAGAACAGAGCAACCGAGAAGCTGTGGGATAAGCTCTGTGGCTTGGCCGTTTTGCCTTTCTGTCTTACATGCCCGAACTCACAGCCTGATGAACTTGGTTTATCCCCCCAGACTGTCTCATGGTCCGGTCCTGCACCCCTCCTACAGCCACGCCCAGTCTTTCCTGCCTTCTCTTTTGGGTTCTTCGTGCTCTTTGTTTTGTTGATTTTGGCTTACTAGGTACCCTGGTTCCTTCTTAGAGAGGCAGCACTAGCCTGTGCGCACAGGCGGGCGCTGTGCTTGGTGCTGGAGATTCCGATGCAGTGTCTACCCTCTGAATGTACAGGACTGTGTGGGAGTCACATAGTCACGGACAAGGGCACTCACTCAGTGTGAGTCAGTTAAATCAAGACTTTATGTGCATATTTTTAAATGACATTGCTTTCAACAGTATGCAGCTTTTAAAAAAGGTTTTATTCCTAATTTCATTGCACATTTCTACAAGCAGAAGCTGACTTATTCAATTTTGAATCTCAGCAGTTCCTTGGTAACTACGCATTGATAATTAATTAGTGTTTGAAGGTAACATCTTCTGGACCCTAATTTACATCTCAGCAAAGACAAAGGGTAGAAAACATGCCTCCTTTCTTGGGCCCTTTTGAGAAGCCACCATACTCGGAATCCTTGGCATCTCAGAATTGATTTTAAGTGTATAATTCAGTGGTTTTTCAACTGACTACAGTCAGTTTCAGAATATTTCACTGCCCCTAAAGATTGCTCATGCCTTTGGGTTTTATGAAGTGCAAATCAGACCTTAGTAAAACTGTAGTAAATAAAGGAAGTGAATAAGGGAAAAACACGACCCTTCAAACAGGTCTTCATTTAACAGCTTCTTAGGAAAGGCACTCAGGGTTATGGTAAGGAAGGTACTCGTGGTTCCAGGTGGAGGAAGGACTGTTGTTGATGAGTGCATGTCATGGCCGTACAAAGGGGGATCCAAGCATTGGGATGATTTTTTTTTTTCCTCTGAGTCAACATGTTTTACGCCAAATGCAGATTCTCCAGAAAGAACTTGAGACAACATTTACAGGGAGTACTAAGCTATGGTTTCAGATTGCCTTAAAGTAGGTTACAATCAGATGACAAACTACGCTGGCGGAGAGTAGTTTGGGGAACAGCATTCTCCCAGGCCTGTGGCAGGGCCTTCTGTTCTGGGCACAGCTCAGAAGGTGGAATAGGACAGTCTATCGAAAGCTGTTCTTTAGGGAGACTGAGAAACACCTTTAAGTAAGGTCATGCTGGAGTGTTAGAGGGCTGTGATTCATGCATTCTCGTTTGCTCATCTCACGTGGGTTTCTGATTTCCTCTAAGAAAACCTTAAGCATTTTAAATCATGAATCTTTTACATTCCTGCAATAAAGGGAGTATTCCAAATAAATAGCTTGTATTTAGGGGGGATAAAAAATGTTTGGCCTGTGAAGGAGCTCTTGGGTGACATGATGCAGTCTTCACGTAGAATGGGGAGGGGTGCAGTAGAGTACACAGAGGGGCCACAGTCTCTTCTTTATACAGCTCCCTTCTCTAGGGAAGTGTAGATTGGTTCCACCAATCTTTAAGTTTGATCTTGTGGAGAAGATAGTGCTGAGAGTCCCCTACCTGGAAGGTTTACCCAAGGGCATGGGCAAATGTTGTCCTCTGATGAGGTGGATGTTCCATCTAGACCTATGAGATGATTTTGGAGGGTCGTCAGTGGACTTTCATAGTCATTACATTGCTGTAAAATTGCCTGTCTCTTTCTCTGGTTCCTAAGGTTGTGTGTATCCTGGGAGAACTGAGGCACTGGTATGTGGAAAGATGCACTATATTGACAGTCAGAGGAGCAGATGGGTGTAAATCACATAATAATTTTTTTTATAAACCCTACTTAGATAAGATTAATAATTTTATGAAGGATTGGAAAGGAACGAGTATTGTCATTACAGTCGTTGCTGATTACCTCCCACTGCAGGGAGAGTGAGCACTTGGCCTTTGGCAGTGCTGGGTCTGTTGGCATTTGAGAGATTAATGTGCAGCCTTGCACCTGAGAAGTATGAATGTCAGTAATGGAGTTGGCCTTATATAAAGGAGTTTTTCATTTTGCCTCTCAATTTCTCACCCCGCCAGCATGAGAAAATTCTTCTTTCCATATTCAGGCTGGTGTTTTGAAGAGAAATGAAGAAGAGCTGTTGTTTGTGGAGAAGGCTGCATTGTCTTGGCAGAGGTAAAAGTCCTTAGATGTGAATTAAGGACTTCTGAGTGCCACAGACTAATTGTTTTTGGGGCATGTTTCATAGGTTTTTGTTTCCAGAAGGCAAGGGAGTAAGTCTTGGCCACATTCTGTGATCTGTTTTCATCCAGTAAATCAACCAGTTGATCTCTCCACCCCTCTTTCTTTTAGAGTGTTTGGTGGCAGTTCAACTCGATATGACTGGGGCCAGATCGACTTTCTTCTTACACTTGGTGTGATGCTACTCGTGTGGGTCCCTCTTGGGAGTAGAGAGGGGAAAGAAGGCTATTGAATCTTTAGCTATTTTATAGGAATGAAGGAGTGATGCTTCATTATGTTTTATAGACAGAAAAATTAAAAAAATGTATTTTTGGTGTTCTGCATTAGGAGACAGGAGACCTGAATTTGTTCTTGGTTGTGCTACTTATTAGCTGTGAAACCTCAAGGCAGGTCATTCTTTTGGACCACACTTTGCTAGCACTGCAGGGAGAGTAGATGGTATTTTAGCAAGCTGCTCAGATGCCAAGGAGGCCTCGTGTAGACTGCTGGCATCTATGAGGAAGATTGTAGTAGGGAGTTTGTTTGTTAGGCATTGTGGAAAGACCTACTGTCAGGGATACCTGGCAGGCAACAGTTAGCAGTGTTCAGTAGGGAGGGGCGCTAGGATTCAAAGACAAGACGTTTTTCTTAGAAGAACAGGCTTGAGAAAC